AAATCAGAAATGAAAATGATTTTTTTAGTTTAGTGTAAAATAAGAGAGAAATGAAAAACGATTTTTGGTCGTTTTTCATTTTTTGTTTTTGTTTTCTCCTCTCTCGAGCAGAGAGAGAGAAAGACATTAATAGGTTTTTTTTTATACTGAAAATAATATCTTGATAAAACTACCAAACACATTTTCAAAAATGATTTCTGTCTGAGATTGAAAACGTTTTCATTTTTATTTTCATACAAAAATAAAATCATTTTAAAACGAATTTCAAACGCGTCCTAAAGTTTATTAGTTTATTTGTATTGATTATTTGGCTGTTATTTTGAGAAAATTAAATTTGATTCAATTATGCTATATTCTAATATGGAAGGGATATAACTGGAAAAAGAAATAAAGTTTCATTTTATCGCTGCGGGCTTTCCATGAAATTACTAAAACTTTGGACAAAAACTTTGTAATGGGTGGCCAAACGAAAAGGATCAGTGGTATACTCACACTCCCAATCAACATCCACTTGATAAACAAATGTGGCCAGTGCTATCATCGATTCTAAAGTCATATCAGTTCAATCAATACTTGACAGATTAATGAGAGACATAATTTTAAGCTTACAATAAACGATGAAAATTAATCTATAAAAACTTAGTGAAAGCTCTAATAAATCGTCATCGACTTATCATTTAATGGTTTTATACATGTTATCCTTGATTGTACTTTGCAATATTCAAAAAATCATCCCCGAGTTAAAAATAATAAATAATAATAATCTAAATAAAACAAAAATGAGAAGGGAGCTTTTATGGTGTAAATTCACCGGTGAAGCATTGTATTTTTATGTTGGATTAATTTTTTAACAGTCAAGTCTGTAACAATAACAATTTTACGTAGCACGTTATAAATTTTTAATACTAATCTATATAAATTTAATTATTAAAAAATTAAGTCTAACGGTTAAAAAAGTAGTATTTTACTTGTGGAGTAAAAATGAGAGTTGCACTGTAGAATTTGCCAAATAAGAATTGCAAAAGCATGAATTAGGCTATCAAAACCCACTCTTAGATGAGTAATACTAGAAGCATCAATTCAAATTTTAATTTTTATGTATTTATTAATGAGTATAAATTATTATTTTTTATTAATAAATATAATTTCTTTTATTAATTAACGTAATAATATTTTATATACCTACTAATAAAAAAATAACAATTCAACTGTTACTTAAATAAAAAAAATTTAAATTTAAATTAGTGTTCTTAATATTATTCTCCCCCCACTTTCCTAATTATTGAGTTTCTGACAACTGATAAGCTGTCGTTCTTATCTTTCGAATACACGTATCCTTTCCTAGAAAACACTTTTGGGTACAAACCCTTTTGAACAATCCAGATCCCAACAACTTTGAACTCTGTTCGATCACGTAACAAAAGTTGCCCATTTCAATTTCCCAAACAATCTCGGACCCAAAAGTTTTGGAAACTAGTGGCACAGTATCGAAAGCTGGATTTGCTGTCAGTGGGTGTTGTCGTTTGATGGAAAATTCACAAGACAAGAACAACATCAACACGGAAGGAGATGGCGATGGAAGAAAGGCCACCAATAACACTTCTTCTTCAATGGGTTCTGGAATAGGTAACAACAGATCCTTACTTTTTTTTTCCCTTATTATTACAGGCTTTCCTGATTTCTGGGTTTGTGGGTTTTCTGTCCCTTAATGTTCTTTTGGGTAATTTGGGATTTATATATGTATTAATTGGTTTTGAAAGCTTAATTCTGTGGTCAATGCAATTATTTGTTTCAATTATTACATATTATCTCAGGTGATAAATCAATACAATTGAATGTTTGTGTTGTTGCATAATCTCATACATAGCTACGGTTATGCGGATTAATGTTGTCTCAAATGATTGAATTCCAAGGTTAATCATTTGACCTTCATTGGTCGAAAAGTCGGGTCCTTTTAGTGTGGCTCGAACTCGGTCTTAAGAATTAGTCGTGCTAATTCTTTAGCCAAGACCAAGAGTAATAAGAGGATGACTAAAGAAATGGATTTTAACAAGAACACACAACGTTAGTGGCTCACCTGAGAGCTACGTCCATTTTCAAGTTTCAAGCACTACTACAACTTACTTTGATGAAAATTATAAGAGAAAATAGCAATAGTGATCTATGTTTTCTCCAACCTCTCTCGTTACTTTGAAAAATGGCAACACCCTCTCTATAAAATTGGAACAACCAAATTACAAGTGTGAAACTCTCAAAGTACTCTTAGGCCCCGTTATTTTATGTACCACGCATTTCATTCTTATTTTACTTATCCTTTATCTCTCAATCTCTTTCATTTTAGCTGCTGATGTCTTGTTATGGAAGAGGTGACATGTTTCTTTTGGTGTCATTGTTGTTTCCACTGTTGCTTGGATTCTTTTCGAGCGATCTGGATTATCGTTCTTAACGATCTGTTCAGACGTTTTGCTGATTTTGGTCGTCCTATTATTTCTTCGTGCTAACTACTCTGCTTTTAGAAACAAGTATGGATATTCAACCTATTTTTATCTCTACTAATTGTTGTTCACAATTTGGTCATTTTACCATGAATTTCTAATTGTGTTTTCTTTCTTTGAATAGACAACTACACACATTGCCGGAGCTAGAACTGTCAGAGGAAATGGTTAACAATGCCGCAGCATCGTTTCGTGTGAAAATCAACAATGTGCTGCTTATGGCTCATGATATCGCTCTCGGCAAGGATTTTAGACTTTTTCTTCAAGGTCTATCTATGTTTGTATTACTATTACATATACTACTTCTAAGGCCTTGTTTGGTTGGAGGGATATACAATTGGAAGGAAGAAGAGGTAGATAACCTAGGTGAAGGACATAGAAAGGAAGAGAGATCCTTTTTCTTAGGGTGTTTGGTTAAAATGGAAGATAAGAAATAGAAAAAGCTTCCCCTTTTCCATATAGAAAATCAAGAGTAGGGAAGAAAAATTATTTGCACAATTCCTTTTTTTTACCCATTTAGTTGGTTCGGTTTCCGTCAATAACAATGGGTAGTTACTCCAAAAAGAAAAAAAAAGACGATAATAAAGTAATTTGAAACTATAGCCTGATTAAGTACTCGAAATCGAGGATCAAAATAGAGTTCTTTGCAGGATTTTGAATCCCTTAGCCAATCCATTCCCTCCTCTGATCCTTCTTACCAGCAACTAATGGTCCTAAAATACTTCCATTAATCTTCCCGGGGTTTCTTCCACTTTTCCTCCCTCCCGAACACACTCTAAAAGTCTTGGAAGCATCTCCCTGTTATGCTATTGCCCGAGGGATCAGTCTACCACTATTACTTGCCTGGTGCGTCTAACCGTTTGAGTCGATGAAATATTTAGGTCATTTGGTTTCCCATCTGAAAACTGAGTACTTGGAAAGTAGATTTAGGATGCAAAAATGCATTTGGTAGTATGTGTGAGAGAGTGTTGAAGTGTGGAAGAGGAGAAATTGAAATGGGTATTAGAAGGGAAAACAACATCTTGATGCGGTGGAACAAGATATTCTCCTTTTCTACCTTTACTTTGTAGTAATGGATCTGATTTATTTAGTGTTTTTGAATAAGAGGTGATGGAATGAGTATTCTAGTGCCCTCTACTTTCGACTAATTTAAATTCATAAAATTCAATTTGAACATGAACCAAATGAGCTTGTGCTTAAGAAACTGTCCCAGATAATTTTGGTTTTGCAGTTTAGAAGTTACCTAGTTTGAGTGGGAGCTTTGCTATGTTTTGTTTTTGTGGCTGGTATCAAATAACAACTATATAGTGAGACTAAATCCCTGCATGACTAGTGAAGTAATCAGATATATCTCTTTCAGATCTATAATCTAACGTTTTGCTCCCATTAGAATTTTATCTTCATTGGGAATTAGGCCTATGGTTCAGGTGTGGCAAAAGTATCTTACTTTTTTTTTTCTTTTTTCTTTTTTTCTTTGCACAGGTGGTGGTCTATTTGTGGCTCTTGTCAGTCATTGGCAGCTTCTTCTCTTTCTTTCGAATTTTTTATCTTGGCATGCATATCATCCTTTCCATTGACTTTCATCTGAATATATGTGTGGCGACATTATGTATGTTCTTCCTGTTTATGTTTTCCCATTTGAAATTGATTTTTTTTTTGTTGATGAAATTGATTTTCTTAACATTCCCATTTGGGTTCGATACTAAAATTTATATTTTTGCCTATTTTAATGGCGACAGGAACCATCTTATTGATCACAATACCGTCCTTGTACAACAAATATGATGAACCTGTGGATAGGTATTATGGGATGATCCAAAAACAGTTCTCTAAGCACTACAAAATAGTGGATGAGAGTGTCTTCAGCAGACTGCCACGCAATTTGTCCAATGATAAAGATTCATAGTTCTTATCATTTAGATGCATTATAGAGCTGTGCAGCGGCAGAGTTTGATAATTGAGATGTCATCTGGACATCTTCTCTTGCCTGCTTATACTATTGGATTATTTTCTATTCTGCAATAGAAATGCCTCGTCAGTGCTATTTGCAAACCATCGTTAAGATCAAGCGGTTACAAACGCGATTAAGGGGTTTGTTACTCGGAAGTAGCGATGGCTATGACTTGATCCAAAACCATGAGATTTTAAAAAAGTAATTTTTCCCCAACGGAGGTTACCTTGTCGTTGTCTACATATCATGTATTCCACAGTAAGTAAATTAAAGAAGTGTTTTTAGCTCAATTCTTTTTGTTACCATAATTATTAGATCCCTTCTCTCCCATTTCACATCTTGGAATGTACCATTTCTATACAGCGGTTGAGAGGAAAGGTTCCTTTCATCAGGTTACTACCGAGAACAAATCCAATAGACGGGTGAGGATTTGAGGATTTAAGCTCGTTATAATATCACCATGATGTCGGCTAACACGTGGACGAAACAACAAGCACTCATTCTTAATTTGTATCACATACCAAAAGCATCGTAAACTTTTCACGTCAAGCATATCACAAGAAGGTTTTACAAACGGTTGTATATAATTCAAACAAAGTTACAAGACATCACTTGATCCACAGGAAGGAAAAACTTGGCAGAAACTCCGACTCAAACCACGTTGGTAGCTGAAAGACATCTTATGCTTAATCAACTAGTTCCACATTTGATTTTCATAGGCTTCTGATTCGATACATGAACAGTTCTGCATACATACAAACACACACTAATAGGAAGTTCAATGTATTTGCGAACTAGCAGATGATGAGGCATATCAAGCCTTGAGCAATTCATTTGCCTTGTTCAACCAAACACTGTAGATGTCTTCTTGGAAAAGAACGAAGTGCACCTGCGAACAGCATTATATAAACTCTTTTAAGTTTCAAAAAGATTTCTACCGCTCATCGGACATGAATCACTTTATTCAATTTCTGTGTTTGTTTTAAGAACAAGACTGACACTGTAGAATTAGACTATCAAGAGAAATCCAAATAAATGTCCTTAATGAGGCTCATATCAAGAAACCAACATACAAAAAGAAAATACCTCTTTAATGCCATTTGCAAACTCTTTAATAGTCGATATAGCTACTGTGGAAGCTTCATCATAGGGGTATCTGAAAGTACAATCAACAATCCGAAGACACGGTGAATTAACATATTCACTTTAAGCAAATACTTAAACGAGCTAGTTGCAGATTGTACGATCCGAAATCGATTCTGTTTTACTTTTATTATAATTCCTTGTCATATGTAGCTGCTGTTGATTGCATGAAACTTACCCATAGACACCACAAGATATGGCTGGAAATGCAATATATTGGATGTTGTTCTCCTTGGCAATCTTCAAGCTGTTTCTGTAATCAAATTGTGCACAAAAAACATGGATTCATTTAGGAGCCAAAGATTTACCTAATAGAAAACCAGTAAAAGCAATAAACGCCATTCCTACCTGTACGTGTTTCTCAGAGCGGCTTCAGCAGTACTCCTTCCATTGTACATGGGTCCAACGGTGAAAACCACATGAGCAACAGGCAACCTAAAACCTCTGTGCAAGTTTACTACAACATGTTAATATTATAACATCTGCTTTAGGACAAAAACACAAAATAATAGCATAAATTAGGAGCAAAAGAAGAGGAGTAAAAGATGTTTGTTTACGGGGTAATCCTAGCTTCTCCGGTGGGGCAGCGAACTCCGGGACTAACTTCTGGAACACCATAACATGCTTGCAGAAGATCTGGTCCAGCAGCCCTGTGTATGGCTAGAACAAATAAAAAGATATTAAATTCACCAAAAGCTATATTAAGTTCATATATAATTTTAATTTGCAGTAAGAAAATTATGGTGAAATTACCTCCGTCTGCGCCGCCACCTCCAAGCATTCGCTCATTTGCCGGATTAATCTATCCGCCGAAAATATTCCATTATCGAAATGCCAAATCGGAGTACAGATAAAGGATCCCTATTACCTTTTCCTCGACAAGTACAATAATATGTACCGCAAAATTAAGGTTAACAATAGCTATAAATATCTTTTGATTTACAAAAGATAACAACAGATAAGAGTGATTTTTAAGATTATGTTTTCTATCTGTTTATTGTTAAAGGTAAATAGGTCTAACACATTACAGGCACTATTTCCAAAAAGGTATAAAGCAGTTCAAAACGACTTTAACACGCTTATCAAGTAAGGGCTTTCCTCCCGAAGACTCGAAAACCATAGAAATACCAACTCTTTAGCGACCTTCTATTTTCCTAGCATTTCTCGGCAAACAAACAGAGAGCTAAGAGAGCAGAAACTAAGCCAAAATCCAATAATCTGGAAAATCGCCGATGTGCGATGAAATTAAGAAGGGGAAAAGGAAAAGAGAGGAGGTACTGACTATGGCGTCGGTGGAGCCGTCGACGAACCACTTGGTGATGTCTCCTCTCTGGATGACGAGAGAAGAGGTGGACGACAGAGGGAAGCGCACCACTCCGCCTGATGATGCCCTAGAAGAAGCATCCATGGAAGCTCTGAGAAAACGATGACTGCTCACGAGTCTTCTTCTGAGATGGTTTGTTGGGAATTGCGTGGAGTCCAGAGCCGTTGTTCTCAGCAATCGAGTGCACCCTCTGCTCAAAATACTAGTCATCGAACGACACGCTTACTTACCACGACTACTACTACACAACTGTACACCACTACTGCCATTCCTCAGGGTCAAAGTAATCAAGTTTAGGTCAAAGTAATCAAGTTTAGGAGATGTTTAGTTAGTAAATTAGAATTATGATATTAAAATTATTTTTAATTTATATGTATTTTTTATAAAAAAAATATTATAATAAATTATAAATTATAATTTGATTCAGAATATGAATTTTCTTACTAAACACGTCTTAAAATTAGAGTTTTTTTTACAATAAAATTTTTTTAAAAATAATCACACTTAATTTTTAATTATAAGAAAAAATCTTTACATAAAATTAAATTTTTAACTCAAATTAAAATTTTAAATAATAAATAACCTTAAAAAATCTACTTAGCTGGGACTGGGTGAGTGGGTCCCATGGCACGTGTGTTTCAAAAAGTTGGGCCTGAGAGAGCCGGTATAGGCTAAAAGCATATATAAAAGTAATGGTTCTAAGATTACTCTCCATTTGACAACGGAACAAGGTCGCTCATGGTCGCCGAAAATCACTAACAGCCAGTCGGAATCCGATCAGCAACCTGAGAACACCAAAAGGAGCTTGAAGTGTTTTTGAACTCTCCTCTTGCTCCCCTCTTTTAACCAGCCACGTTCGGACCACACACAAAAAAGGAGAACAAAACTTTTATGTTTGTCTGCAACAATAAGTATATGGGCCTTGTTGGGCTTTAACCAAAATTTGGATGGAGTGAGAATTTGACCAATGAGCTGATTAAATATTGAAAGAAAAAGAAAAATATGTCAAGATATGAGATGAATTAAAATTAATACGTTAATAGTTTATATAAGTTAATAAATAGGTTAAATTATTATTTTCGTCCATAATTTGTCTGGTTATGAACTATAACTTGACAAGTTATTGTCCATAACTTATCTAGTTATGAACCATAACTTGACAAATTTATTCATAACTTATCTAGTTATGAACCATAACTTGACAAATTTATTCATAACTTATCTGGTTATGAACCATAACTTAACAAGTTATGGCCTATTAATTTTTATAACTAAAAATTAGCTTTTATACTTTCTTAAGCTTTTCATATTAGCCTATTTCCTACTATTTCCGTTAAATATTTAAAGAGAGTGAATGTAAGAGCCTCCAACACATTATAAATTAAATTATCCATCACATTATGGTACTTGATATAATATCATGCATAAATTATATTTTAATGTAATTGTTCATAAAATTATGCTCTAATTTTGTGACATATTTGTATGATTTGTGCTAGCCCATACAAATATTCCAACATTTCCAACTGTTTTGGTTGTTTTAATTTATTAGATGTTCCCATATTTGTGCTGGATATGACTTTCTGCGGTTGTTTTGGCATTTCTTTTGACCCCTATTAACGAAATCTCTTTTAGAGGATGTTTATTTTCTGTATTCGTCCCTGATTTTAAATTATAATTTATAATTTTTTATAGTATTTTTCTTTCATAAAAAATACACGTAAAACAAGAATGATTCTGAATTGTGATTCTGAATTTATGAATCAAACGTCCGCTTATAATATCTAAAAAAAGAAACTTGTCCGTTTTCATCGTTTGATAGGAATTTTTTTTAAAAAAATGTGTCCGTTTTATTTTTTTTTTCTTTTTGTTTTTCCCAGCTATTCAATGAAATGGCTCTTTCGTGTCCGAATCATGCTGTTCTTCAAGAGTTGGATTGCTTGTTTCAGCAAGCTTGAAGCTTTTTATTGTTGACTTCAAGAAATCCCGGATATGTGCACGTTGAATACCTTTCTGGGCTTTTAAATTTTTGGTATTCAATTTCTGTCTTGTTTGCAGGTGTTTTGTTTATAACTTTGCTTTTAAAGCACTGAAAGGAATTTTCTTACTGGGATTTTATCCATCTCAACCATGTATAGGGACACGGGGCCTGTGGCGACACTCTGCTACATTGGATCGAGTATCAAAGGACGGGCTTGATCTCTCCAAAATCCGATGTCCATGCTTTTGGAATGGTGATTTTACAGCTCCTGACCGCAAAGCCAGCAATTGCACAAGCCCATGTTGTGGAAACTGCTGTACCTGATGGTAATCTAATGGACATTGTGGATCAAAATGCGGGGAATTGGCCAGTCGAAGAGACGAAAATATTTGCAGAGTTAGGGACTAAGTTGTGTCGAGCTTCGACGTAGAGATAGGCCTGATTTGTAAAATCAAGTGCTCCCTACACTGCAGAGATTGAAAGAGGTTGCTGATAAGGCCAAAGATTCAGCAAAGTACATTTTCCACCACCTCCTAACCATTTCATTTTTCCAATTCTTAAGGTAATTCCTATATTTGTATAATATTCTATTGGAAATATTCAACGTTCTTCCTTTAGAGATTTCTATTTACTGATCATTTTTATTTTTATTTTTTGTTTGAATTAGGATGTAATGAATGGTCCATATGTTGCTGCGGATGGATATACTTATGATCGTAAAGCCGCACAGGTATGGCTTGAAATGAATGATACATCGCCCATGACAAATTTACCATTGCCAAGCAAGATTCTCATACCAAATTACACTCTTCATTCTGCAATTATAGAGTGGAAAGTAACAAAGGAAATTGCTACCAAGTCAAATGAGTGATGTAAGGGATTTGTAATAACATGTGAATATTACTAGAATTTCTTTCTTTCTCATTCTTAGAAGACTTATAATTATTTCCCTTTTTGGGAATCTTGACACAACAAGTATATTGTTAATTTTATTATGTTATTTAGGCATAAAACGGAACAAATCCATTCAAACATTTTGCTCTCTAATGCTTTTTTGAGCCTACCCACTTACCGTTTTTGTCTCTTGAATTTCCAGTTGTTCAAACATTTGAGGTTTTCATTTTGGGTTTTTAGACAATTACCCCTGAACTTATCGTGATTAAGCAAATTGTTCTCTACACTTTTAATTTTGGCAATAAACCCCTCAAACTTACAAAAATGTTACAATATGCCCCATTTTACTAAGTTTTACTAAATTTGCTCAAATTTTTTGTTAGATGTAAAGGATCAAAAGTTGAGAAATTGAAAGATTTATGTCACATTTGAATCGAGCTGTTAAAATTTTCTGTCGAATGGCTTTTTCAACACTAATTTAACACAACTATTGTCAAAATGGGACATATTGCAACAAGTTTACAAATTGAGAGGGTAACTTGTCAAAATTAAAAGCTAAAGGAGCCAATTGCTAAAACTATATAAGTTTGGGGTAAATGTGTAAAATACCCTTTCATTCTTACCCAGGGTGGGGTAGATATAGGGAATAATATTATCCCCGCGAACCAAACGACCCTTAGTAAATGTACTCTCAATTGTTGTCCATAATTTCGCCTCCGCTTGTGTTGAAAAACGTCATAGAGTTAATCCTCTTGATATTTGTTATCGTTTAATTGTTTTCTTAAGGGCAATATTGTTGTTTAATTTAAGTAACCATATATGTACAAACTGACATGATGACTATCGTTTATAAACAGAACGTCGTTATCATATATATATATATATATATATATATATATATTAGTTTCCGGTTTTCTAAATAGAAACGACACTTTCTTCTCTTTAAAAAAAAAAAAAATAATGTCGTTTATGATAAGAAACGATATGTCGTTCTAGGAAACTTTACTCTCCTTTCCAAAACGAAATATGAAATGTCGTTTGTCATGGACAAGCTGTTTCAGTTCATGTTAAAAACATATGTGGTTTATAAGTCTATGTCGTTCATGTCTTTATGAGTTCGTTTTCCATTCCAAACGACATGTTTATCCAGAAAAATTTTTGTCGTTTTTTTGCTAAAGACATTTGTTGTCGCTTAGAAATATAATAGGGTGTCCTTTGGGCCTAAAAACGGCATATAGCTTTTCATTTTAAACGGCATGTCACTCAGTTAGGTAGACAACAGAATAAAAATATTTAGTTGTAATCATCCTTAAAAAAAAAAGAAAAAAAAAAAAAAGAAAGTATCTTTTGTAGCATAAGCATTGCTATACCTCTACTAAATTACACAATATTCAAAAAGGCATTAGCTTTTGTTGCGTCTTGACTTTTAATATCTTTAATACATCTCTATGCTAACAGAATAAATTGATTAGAATATAAGAAAATAAAAATCTTATCGACCAACCATGTGATTATTAGATTTCTATTGAATAGTAAGTGCGCTCAACTGTTTGTGGTGCCATATATCAATCATCATTCACTCGTATCTATCAATCTCCTCTCTATGTTCTTTTGCTTTTATTAATGAATGACAACGTTTTAATGAGTTTCACATTTGTGGCATTGATGTTGGAAATTGATAAAATATTGTAGGACATCATGTAGAATACATATTTATTGAAGCCACCAATTTTTTATGGTCCATCTGTATCTTTGTTCAGTTGTAGCTTGGAAATTTATGGCGGTTCCTATGGACATTGAGTCGTTAATAAACAAGTGGCGACAAATCTATTTCCCATTTTCGTGAAGAGTGAAAAAGGGGATTGTGGAACCTCAAAAAATGCTCCATATTGTTAGATTATTTTTTTAACAGTCAGATTTATAGTAAGAATAGTTTTATGTGACTGTAAATCTTTAATACATATTTGTATAAATCTAACCGTTAAAAAATTAATCTAACAGTTAAAAAAGAAACTGAGTTTTAGGTTTCAGAATCCTGAAAAAAAAAAAAAAAAAAAGTTAAAAACTATGTGGGGGTTGATTTTGAATGTTAGTGCTTTGAACTGTTTCCCAAGCCTCGCTCAGTGAAATTTAATTACAATTTATATAAGAAACTAAAGTTGACTAATCACCACTTTGAATCTCTTTTTTTTTTTTTTAACCCATTTAGATCTCAGAATCAATTTAATTTTTGAGAGAATATCGTGGTAAGATAGCCATGAAATATGAATAAATATTTTATGAATACAATTTTGAATAGTTAGATTATCATAATTATATTAAATAAAAGAAACTATGACAATTTAATTACACTTAAAAATACAAATTTAACGGTTTAAAATTGTTTTCTACTAGTGAAGTATTTTTCATATCATATCAAAGAATGTTTCAAATTTTTGTCATGCTATTCTTATTCCCTCATCTGACTTTGAAACCAAATTATTAATTGTTTCCTATTTCTGTAGTACTCATGTATAGGAGGGACTACTTCCATTCCCTCCCACGACAAAACAACACAAGTGTTGGGAGCCAAAATCAATCTTTGCATAATAGTGAGTGGAAAGCAATGGTTAGAGCTTCTTTGGATTATAAAGAAATTAAAGAAAAAAAGGTGCTCATTTGCTTAGTGTTTCCGGAGGCAATTTTATCATGCTACTTGGAGCAGAATCACTGTCCAAGAAAGGTGAAACTGAAAAAGAAAAAGTCACCAGTAAAAAGAAAAGGAAAAGAAAAAAGGGGTTTTAATTGATAAACGTTTACTTGTTGCAACAATATATATGTACATCTCATCTTTTGCCACATTTTTTGATATTTTATGCTTTAATTATTGCTTCAGCCTGGGAAGGACCAAAGCCCATTAAGGCGTAGAAAGCGCAATGCAACTTTGACTAAAAAGGACGTGACATTTTTTCTTCTTTTTTTTTTTTTTTTTTCCCTCTTTTGTCACAATTTTTTAGTGGTGCTTAACTGCTTATCCAGCTCACTTTAGAATTTAATGAGCCATATATAATAGATTAATAGATAGCGATCTCTCATAGTTGGACCCAGACCATTCACACCCCCACGCAACCTCTCTTTTTCTCCCCTCCACCTACAGATTTTGAAGCAAGAGATATAAATATATTGATTTTTAGTCTTTCAGATAGAAGAGAGAAAATGGCATTTCATAAATAAATGGAAGTTTTCTTTGGAATCAATTCAATGTACGGCTAAGAATGTGTTTAGAAAACAAAAAATGTGGTAAGCTTTATATGAGCCATATATAATAGATTAATAGATAGCGATCTCTCATAGTTGGACCCAGACCATTCACACCCCCACGCAACCTCTCTTTTTCTCCGCTCCACCTACAGATTTTGAAGCAAGAGATATAAATATATTGATTTTTAGTCTTTAAGATAGAAGAGAGAAAATGGCATTTCATAAATAAATGGAAGTTTTCTTTGGAATCAATTCAATGTACAGCTAAGAATGTGTTTAGAAAACAAAAAATGTGGTGAGCTTTATAGATGAGAACAAACTGACTTGCAAACCATCACATGGGGTTTAACACGGAAATCTGGAGTCGCCCCAATTTCAAGTCTTGGGGAAAGCTGTTACGTTTTTGCCTAGAATTCTATGAGAAGCATGGGAACTGATGACACATCCATAATTGTGAAACAATAAAATGTATATATATATATATATATAAATTAATTGTCAAAAGCAAAACTGAAGTTCCATACATTTTGAGAAATTGCCAAAAGATCCCACTTCATGCTTGAGCTAACACTACTTGGCCAAAAAAGTTGGGACCAAGGAATTTTACCATTTCACGCTTCTGATCCCTTGCCAATAGAATAGGGAGATCTTAAATCCCGACAAACAAAACAACCCAATTAACATGTTCTATGGACTTTTTTGGATGGCTAAAGTGAGTGAGTCACATTTGTTTCTGTTACCCTTTTGTGTTTTACCTCTCCTTAGTAAACATCAACATCAAGAATCCAACAATTCCCTTGTTGGGTGTTCAAAATTTTCAACCTTTTCTGCTTCAAGACTATTCCTTTCTTTCTTTCCACATTTTATGGTTTTCCTATCTGTACACGTAAATTGTCAGCAGCATCTTGTTGTTGTTTTTCATGTCTTGTTGAATCATGAAGATGTTGAAGAAGAGAAATTTTCTTCATGACCAAGTCATCATTTTCCTATCTCCTCCAGCTTCCATAGAACCTGTTTGATGTTTGGTCTCAGAGAAGGTGATGGAGAACAGCAAGCCATTGCGAGCTGAAAGAATTTGAGAATCCGCTCTTCGCTAACCGGGACTTGTTCATCATCAGTGCCAGAACTGGTGAGAAGTATGTTCGGATGGAACAAGTCCGCAATTCTGTGCCCAAGAACCGCGTTTCGCAAGAAATTCGGCAAGTAGAAATCCTCTTCCGGTGTTGTCGGGTTCTCATTGACTGGTTCCTTCCCAGTAAGCAACTCAAGATAGATTACCCCAAGACTGTAAATGTCAGTCACTTCACAAGCCTCCTTCATTTTGATCAGCTCAGGGGCTTTATAGCCCTGAGAGGCTAAGGATTCGAGGATTTCTTGGCCAGCAGTCGGGTTCAGGAGAAGGTGTATACCGGAATCTGAGATGTGAGGTTGAAAATGGCGATCGAGGAGTATGTTTTTCGACTTGAGATTGCCGTGAATTATTGGCTTTTCAGGGCCAGAGTGGAGATGATCAAGGCCTTTGGCTATGCCAACAGAGATCTTGTATATTGTGGCCCACTTCTGTGCCTCATGATTGCATTCTGTGATTGAAAACAAGAAATTGGTAAATTGTTTTTATAGCAAGGCGAGATCGAACCTGCAACCTCTTACAATGCCTCCACCCCATCCAAACTCCCAGTATTCACTCGACCAAATGGTCTTAGGCAAGTTCGTAATCTTTTAGAGCATGTGTATAAAGAAAAAGTGAAAAGCAAAAAAAAAATTACAAAAAAAGAGAGACAAAAAAAAAAAATTTGGGGGAAAAAAAAAAAAAAAAAAAAAAAAAAAAAAGAACCGTCTCTGAGTTTCACAAGGACGTCTCAGACTCAGATCACTCTCACAGTAACACGCCAATACCCTCTTCCCCGGTCAAGATGGCACTTATAGCATTGACGGAAATCTCAGTGATTCAAAAAATGGAAGTGAAATGATAAGGAAAACTGTAACAAAATTAACTACTTTTTGAGATTTCTGAGAAAGAAATCTTGACCCATTTGAGAAAAGTTCATGTTTTTTCAGTTCCCATTTTGATCCAAAGCAGTTAAACAGCTTCAATTCCATTCTGTCTTATTCCAGCTCCCCTGTTTTCCTTTCTTTTACAAATTCTTTCTAGTTATTTTTGACTCTCTCATTTGAATTTCTGCTTAAGATTCCAGAGATCCATATAATCTACTTTGATAAACAGTAACAAGAACAATCCTTTTTCTATCCAAAGAAACTAGAGTTAAGCAAACGATCACATTTTTAGGAGAAGAGAAATATTAAAATTACCTCTAATGAAGTGAGACAAATTGCCACGCCTGAGAAAGGGATGAACCAGAAGCTTCTCACCCCTTGGCCCTGCATAAAATCCCAGAAGAGACACCAAGTTGGGATGTCTTACACTCCCTAGAGACCGAATAACTTGCTCAAAATCTTCACCTCTTGTTGTACAAACCGGCCTAAGAAACCTCAGAAGCCTTACAGAATTGCTACTCTGTAGAAAGGCCTTGTAAAGAGTGCCATAGTTGGATTTTCCAATGACTTCGCCAGGAGCATCAAGTATGTCACAGATTGAGAGGTCCTCACCACCTTGAAAAGTCACCAACAATTCTTCATCATCTCCTTGGACACCATTATGATCTCCTCCATGTTTGCTGTACTTATCAGTCTTCTCTATGTCCTCTTCAAGCTCTTTTTTTGAGGCTCTTTTGCAGTAGAAGTAGATGAAGAGGATGAAGAATATGAAAGTTGTGGTTGAAGTTAGGACAAGAATCAGTTTGAGCATCTGGGTGTTCTTCATTATGTGACAAGCTTGAAGAAGGGATGGATTTAGCACATTCTTGGAGTTTGAGATTAGGAGAGAAACATGGGATTATTGTAATTTTTCCATTGGACATGGATTTTGGAGACCACAAGGAGGAGAAGACAAGAGGATGAAAGATGGAATGGTACTTTGTTAGAGTGGGGAACCCAAGATTTTTTAGTTTTTTTATTTTTTTAAGAGAGAGAGAGAGAGGAAAAACAGAAAAAAAATGGTACAAGTTATTTAAGAGGGAATTGGAGTATGGAATTGGACCATTGGTGGAAGGAGACTTGTACATGTGAAATGAAAGGGGAGAAAAAGGAGAGCAAATATACGCTGGCTGAATCTAGTAAGAGACAGATCTATTCCATGTGATGTTTTTATTTGACTGTCGTTCACCGTATATTTGTGTTATATAGATGGATTTGATTCTATTTCTATATATGATTATTATGGACTTTCCTTCTCTTCCAGCTCCAAAGTCCTTTTTCTTTAAATATACAAAATATCCCAACTTTGTTTGTGCACGGATAAAAGTTTCTTAACTTATACTCCTTGGTAATGAGCTTATACTTTATACTTTTCATCTATGATGAAGAAGAAATGTCTCATCACATAAGCCAATATGTTGCGGTCATCTATCTTTTGATTATTGGATCTAACTTTATCCTTCCAGCAACCAAAAAAAAAAAAGTTTTTTTTTTTGGTAGATCCTAAAGAAAATGTACATTAGATCTATATTAAAAACTTTTGTTCTAAGTATTTTTTTTCAATATGATTTGATTTTAACTAGATTTAATATTCAAAAAATTGACCCTACATGTATCAGAAATTATCGTTATGCATATTTTTTTTAATTTAATGTAATTTTAATATGATGTAACAGTCAAAAATTAATACTATTGATAGCACTGTGAGAAACTCAAAATTTTATTCTTTTTCTGGTAGAAAGTGGTGAGATTAGAAAGAGAAATATATCTCTACCTTCTAGTTCTATCGTTTTTGGTCTCCCAGTTCGAAAGGAAGAATCCATGTCGTTTATGATGAAATATTAAGATATTAGCATTTGATTTTAAAAAAGAAAAGCGAACATCTATATACATTCGGTGGTCCGTGGTCTGGACTTTAAAATTTTTTTTGAAGTTGCTTAATTTATGGCTTAAGCTTAGCTGTCTTTGAAGCGCACCCAACAAATTATTATAGATTGGATGCATTTAGCGAAACTCGAAAGTTGAAATTAGATGCAACTAATCAATTTTGAAGGCAAAAAAAGGTGGTGAACAGTTAATGAGTCAATTATGCAGTTAGTTACTCCAAAGGTCAATATAAAATTATAAGATCAGGGTTGAGAGTTGAGATTAATAATACGTAAGAGGAAGGTGTCTCAATGGAATAGTCTAAGTTGTAAAATTTGGTAAAAGATGGTGTCCAAAAAAAAGGAAATTTCTTATTGGTACTCTGTGTTTTAGCATAATTGTCTTTTTATATCTTGTGTTGTACATTGACGTTTTAAAAAATTATTTTTTAGTACCTTAAAGTCATTTTTTCGAATGTAAAATGTAAAATTTATTATTTTCATTATTTTACCAAAAACTAATAAAATTAGAAAAATTCTTGAAAAATTATCGTTAATTTAAAGCATTATTTTTTATTTTTTATTTTTAAATGTTTAAAAAAATTCATAATTTTTCTAAATTTGTTATTAGTTTTTCAGTTAATTAATGATAAGGGCAACTTTGACATTTTACAATTCAAAAAATGACCCTAAGGTACTAAAAATGATTTTCTAAAACATCGATGTACTAATTTAAAATTACTAAAAACACACGGTACTAAAAAAATAATTATGTTAAAACACAATGTACTAATATTAAATTTTCCCAAAAAAAAAGTTAAAAAGGGGGTAAAGATTTTTTCTTTTTCAAATTTAGTAAAACTGTTGAACTTATTCTTATAGAGTGCATTGGTCTAAATTTTACCCTTTAACGTTGATTAATATTATTTTAACTAATATAATTATTTGACAAAAAAGTTATTAATTAAGAGTGATGAGAAAAAATATGTACTCATACACTTTAAAAAATATGTCTCATTTTTCTGTATTTAGTCCCAACACAAAAAAAAAAAAAAAAAAAAAAGAACGGAAAAGAATAGAGTAGTTGCAAAAATAAAAGAATAATAAACGGCGTTGATTGTGAGTTGTTTAAGGGACCCACGACTACCGAGTGATGCTTTGGTCATCTTCCTCATCAAAATCAAAGGGTGGGACCCTTGCTACCACGTGAGGTATGATGGTCTGTCGCAAATTAAAAGTGCCGGACATCCATGGCCCTCCCAAGTCCACCAGGTCGAATTGGGTTATCAAAATAATCTTCATCGTTATGTTTGATAAGTTCAATAACTTTCTATTCAAATTTATGAACCACATGGGTACTTCATATATTCTGAATTTGAAAAAAAAAAAAAAAAAAAAAAAAAACTCTCCTAAGATGAAATATTTTAGATCCTATTTATCTGTAGTACTAAACGGATGTGTCAACCAGTACTTGACATTCCAAGCAATGTTTTTTATAGAAAAAGAAAAGAGTAGTATTTGACATTTACAAATTTATTCAAATATGCAATATGCATAGTCATTTTTTTTTCTTTTTTAGTTTTATTTTCTTATTATGTAGAACTAGCCAATTCTACTGTATATAGTGTGTGGAGCAACCCTAGAAAGCAAAATTGAGCAAGTGAGAGAGGAAGAGCAGTGTGTTCTTGAACAGAGATTTTAGTATATTGTTAGACCAATGGCCACCAAATTTCATCTACATGGTCGTCGTCTGAAGTTGAGTTCGGGAATGGGTTTTGCGCAATCTGTAGATTAGGAGGGCTGTCGGATCGAATTAAGGGAAGGCTTGTCCTATAATGGTGTGTATGTCATTAGTCACAGCAGCCACCAAGTTGTGTATGTCAACCAATCGTCTATTCTTCCGTTTTTCCCCCAGCAGTATTAAGTGTCATCGGATTCTTCAAGTGTTTTGATGTTTTGCCTTGTAGATTTTTCTTATTTTTTGTTTGCTCTAACAATGGTTTTTATCCTAATTAGTTTCTATTTTTTCTTTGTTCGTTTAGTGATTCGTTGTATTTCTATCTGCTAGATTTGGTTTTTTTTTTTGGGGGTTGATTTGATATTTTCATCAACTATAAAAGTTTTGTTAAAAAGCTATCTTTTTATGTGTACTCTTTCTTTTGTGGAATCCAAAATACATTAGCTTTCCCTTCATCATTTCATTCAAGTATTTTGATAAAACCGGTTGTTTATTAATGTCATGTTATCTGCAATAGAAACCTGTGTGTCGTTTTCACGCTTTGTAAATATTTTCTCTCAGAATAAAAAAGTTCTTTTACGTGCGAGTTTATTTCCATTTTTTAGGACAAAAAGGAAAAAACCTGGTTCCTTGGGATTATTCCCAACTTTTTTGCTTTAAATTATAACAGTAGTTTTCATATTTGGAAGTTGTCTTTTTTCCTTCTAAAATTGTATACATTGTCTCACGACAATTCCACGTTTCTTAATCTCAATGAATTTCCCGTATCTTTTTTTTTTTTTTTTTTTTGGAGTTGAAATGGATTTTCTTTCCATAAATTATTTGAAAGTTTCAAGCTTAAGGCACTAAAGAAGTAGGAACTACTAAATCCATTGCCATAATTTGCAAAGTAATTATTGGTGACAGCATAATATCGCTTCATTTGTAGTTCAATGTACTATTTTTATATGATAAAGGGGATCATATAAATTATTATACATTCTTGAATTTATTTCTCTCTCTCTCTCTCTCTCTCTCTCTGTAGGAACTACTAAATCCATTGCCATAATTTGCCGAGTAATTATTGGTGATAGCATAATATCGCTTCATTTGTAGTTCAATGTACTATTTTTATATGATAAAGGGTATCATATAAATTATTATACATTTTTGAATTTATTTCTCTCTCTCTCTCTCTCTCTCTCTCTCTCTCTCTCTCTCTCTCTCTCTCTCTCTCTCTCTCTCTCTCTCTCTCTCTCTCTCTCTCTGTAATCATAATTTGATTGACCTTGGTTTCTTGTTTCCCCAGCAACCACACATATGTGCTTACAAATTTTGTATCATCCAGTCAAGTGGGCAATCAGGAAGCAAATATTCCAGTGTATCACATGACCAAACCAAACCAAGCGGCACATAAAAATCTCAACCTCATTCTCCTCGTAACACATTTCATATTTTATACATAAGATTAGTTTGGTAACCATAAGCTAACTAACTTAGTTAGCTGGTTAATCGCTTTCTGTTACATATTTCTAATAAAATGCGTTGAGCATATCTGAATCGTATCAATATGAGCCCACAAAAAGCTGAAAAAAAAAAACCCAATAATGATAATAACACGTAACAACAAAAGCATAAAGCTTATTAAAAAAAAAAGCATAAAGCTCTTCAAAACACTCCCAGTTGTAAATCTGCATCAGCTTATTATACTGATGTATTCAATCTTGTCACATCCTATAATCTTATATTTCCATACAATAGGATTATGGATGGTTAACAATATTATTGTTTCAATATAATGCCAACCGGGTCAAAAGCGAAAGAAATATAGTTAGGTATGCCTTACATGATTACCACAAATTATGATGATTATTGTTGTTGTGGCAACATAATGATAATATAAATGGCCTACTATTAAGTGCTTGCTCGTGGTGACCCTCCTTCGTGTGAACCACCCTAGTTTTATGAAGTTCGGGTTGGGAGGAGATTCAAGTTATTTATCTAATTTTTAACGTCTCAAATGGTATTAAACTAATCACATTTTACCATGTTATTTAAGAGTGTTAAATATTAAAACATAAAAATTTGAGTTAAAAAGCATTTCAGATTTTTTAAATGATGTAACATGAAATCGTTAGTTAGACACTAATTTTAACATCAAATTGAGCAGGTGATTTAACTCCAAAGTTATTTATGACCCATGACCTGGTTTAATAAGTACTAATTAAACCTTATCCTCGTCAATAATCTGCAATAAATGCCAAATTTTAGATAAATCCTTCAATGCATATGATTTTTCTTTTTTTTTTTTTAATGAAAGCTACATATCACACCACTTTTCTTCCCCACTGAGAACACAAGACAGGGACCTAAAGTAGGATATTTTAATATTTAAATTCAATTTAGAATTATATTTATCTTTTTATTTTTTAAAATTTATTTATATTGTGAAGACTTAGCAAAGCTTTTGCCTTCTACCGTGATTCCATCAATTTTGTGGTGGTAAAATTTTTTTATCTTTGTTTTGAAAATTTTTTCTATAATTTTATTAGTTGGTAATTGAATAATGTGTGTTCGATCCATTTAAAAAAAAAATCATGAATTTTTCACCATATTACCTATACAATTGAAGATTACTATCAACAAACGGAAGATGATGTGCGAGTTATAAATTGCATTGCTTATTTTCACACTTATATCTCGGTCAATGATACACATTGCAAACTTGTTATTGACGAGCGTAGTGAGATTAATGTTGTGTCAACTAAATTGTCAATCGTTTGAAGATTCAAACTGAGCCTCATTCTAGACCGTTTTGGATATTGTTACACCATAGTCGAGACATCAACCATTCCTGCGAACGACCGACGCCGAGGACTCCCGCGCGGAGGACCAGCTATTGGCATCGAGGGTAAGGCCAAGCAAACGTGCCCTATACGTCGAGAGATAGCGCAAGAGGAGAGGCGCCGGGCGAGGGCTCTACATATTGAGACCGCGGCATCGAGGGAACATTGTCGGTCCTTTTTGCCAGGAGTCATGTCAACCCGAGGAGGGAAGTACTGATCCGACTGCTACTGCAGAAGTCAGGAGGTCAAGCGGCAGGTTGAGAAGGTCAGCCGTATTTCCATGAAAAGTCATCATGAAAACTCACCTACCCTCACGAGGATCGAGAACAGACGATGGCTTCCTCCTTGGGAGCCGGGAATGTGTAATCCGGGTAGAGGCCTATAAATAGAACAAAAGAAACCCAGAAAGGGGTTAGACACTATTGATATTACAGAGAGAGTTTGTAAACATCTGAGAAAATAGTGCATGCACAAGTGGATTAGGCACAAAATTATTGCCGAACCACTATAAAATCCTTGTCTCTTCTACATTACTTTACTGCTTGTTACTTGATCTTGTGGTTAGTGCAACCGTGAGCGTTTCCGGGGAGGTAATCACGAGTTGTTGGAAAAACATTGTCAACAGATATATTAGAAAGATAAAGATTATTTTGTAGTCACTGAAAGATATCTATTACCTTTTAAATTTGGTCCTTATGAGCAATATGTTAATTGTGATGTCCTTCATCCATACAGATTTTGTTAGGACTTCCTTGGGTTGATGATCATGATGTGAGATATGTTGAAGGGAATCAATATGTTTTTAGACTGCATGAAAAAATTTTGATCTTGAAACCGGCTAAACCAAAAGAAAAAGCCTATATGTCTTAGCCTATTCTCCCTTCCCCAATTTCTATTGTTCCCAACCCATCTATTGAGAGTGATGATGCAAAAAAAAAACAAAATTATTGATACTCCTTGTCCTGAGCCTATTGTTGATGAGTCACCTCCGCCAAAAATCATTGAATCCAATTCTTCCGAATCGGTTGTTGACAGTGGATCTAATGCATATTTACTTAAATTTCCTTCTAATTTGATTATAGAATTAATTTTCAATGAGGTAGAATTGTTCCTTAACCATGTGATCAGAAGCCTCGAGTGTTCTTGATGTTTTCTCTACAGTTGGAATGTCTACTAAATCAACTTACAAGCACTGATGGCTCGTTTCAGAATCCAATATTAAGGTTGAGAGATTTCTTGCTTTTCAAATTGTTTCTTCATTATTCTTTCCTGTTTAAAACTCGCTGGAGTCGAGTTTCTTCAATCCGGGGAGAATGATGACGAATTAGAGTAGGATATTTAAAATTTAAATTCAATTTAGGATTGTATTTATCTTTTTATTATTTTAAATTTATTTATATTTATCTCCTTTTTACAATAGGATTAGAATTTCATTCTCTATAAATAGATTAGTGATTGTTATGTTCATTCAGACTTTGGATGGTTAATGATATTAAGATTATTGATTTCTCCCTTTTGAGTTCTTACACTTTTAGGATTTCTATCTCTCTCTTGATTATTCTTCTCTATCTTGATTCTGTTTCTACTTATTGATTATGTTCTCTCTTTAAATTCTATATATGTTCTTCTATCCTACTCGGTCCTACATCAACCAGTGTTAGATAAATACCAGCTCACGAGACAAAAATCATTGGAGGTTCTATTGCAATTGGGACTATACGTGCCCAGTTGTGGTCCTATGTCATAAAAAAATACTAATAATAACAACAATAATGATGAGCCAAGAATATAAATTGGCTTGTGACTCACCAAGCACATATACACTACTTTGCATGCGTGTGTCCTTGATGCTTTTATACATGGAAAAAAGTTGTATATGCATAACAGTATTTGAAAGCTTGTTGACCATCATTTTTTATTATTCAATAAATTTTCTTTTTCAGTTTATGGTATGTCAATAATTGGTTAAATAAGTTCAACAACTTCATGAAGAGGCTAATGCTTTGTGTCAAAGGCAATTATTTAGACCTCTACACTTGTAAATGAATTATCTATTAGTAATTATTAGGCAATATAATACATTGGATTAGGAAGCTTGAATGAACGGGTGGACATTCGGGTGCCCAGCAAATCACTCCATTGGTCTCCAGAGTTCCCAAGAATTCTATATCCTTCTCTTTCCATTTCACTTATCTTCTCTGATTTGTATAATACTGCTAATTTCCCATGGTCATCAGGGCCCCTATAAAACATCAGAAACATAGGATTCAAAGGTGGGTGTAAATGATCAAGTGGGTAGAGAAATTGATTGCCACAAACTTGAAAACTTTTGTAACATCCACCAAAACTTTAATTGCAAGCTTTCAACTTACTTCATTATTAGACTATAAGGGTGCGTAAAAGAAGCAGAACAGAAAGGAAACTTAACAGGAGAAGAAAATGTCAAAATAGGAATCATAATTTGTTAATTTATTTATTTATTTATTTTTTATTTTATGTATGATGAGTTTCTTCACTTTTACTGTTTGTACGTTATGAGCATAATACATATAGGTATTGCAATTATTTGGTATTTCCCCATCCCAATAAACAAAGATCACTGGTAAATCTCACATGGAGTATCTGAAGTCATTCTGATAAAATAATTGAACAGAACCCTTTTTTTTTTTTTTTCCTCAATTAGCTAAACAGAAAAAAACAGTACAAATTTACAACCAAAGTATGTTACCCTAGTTGATCAAGTATATTAGTTGCATAATATATTTGGGTTCATTTTAAGATTTTAAAAGCCAAAGGTTAAGGTGGGTCCTTAGTGAAAGCAAACTGTTGTACATGCCAATGTTGTGTACATGCATGAAACGAAGGCACATTTTTGTACAAAGAACAACATTACCAACTTTTTATCATGTTGAAATACAGGTCCATCTAATTTCAATCATTTCTAACTAAGTATTTGGTACGTAAGAGGTCGGAATGCTGATGAATGATGATGATGACGACGAATCATTGAGAAAATATTAAGAAATCATTATGAGTAGGACATTCAGAATAATGCTTTTCCTTTCACCAAAAGCAAACACGTTCCTCAGTCGTTATAGTTATTTTTTGATTCTCTATCCTATCATCAGATAACTAGTACAAAGTATACATTAGAATTAGGCTACAGCCTAATCTTTTTGAGGTGCATCTGCGGCTCAAATCTAATTAGTTGAGTTTAGAAACAACCTTTGTCTTTTTTTTTTTTAAATTTATAGAAATGCACGTGCATACTAAAATTTTGGAATGTATTGTAGACTTACAAACTAAACTACGAAAAGTGTGTAAATAATGCCTATTCTCCTATACTTTATAATCGTTATAGGATACTCGGGTGCTCGTAATTATGAAAAGCTTGCTAAAGTATTATTAAAGCACTAAAAAAAATCATAATTTAGAAAACATGGCACTAGGATCCTGTAATTTGATGCCCCGCCAGTACTTGTTCCTCTGCATCATTTATGCAAAGCTGGATCTTACTTTTAGCATTTGTGTGTCCACAGTCATATGGCACTAGATATTTAAGCACACTAACAACGTTTTACACACACACACACATATATATATATATATATATTTATATAAGAACAAGAACAAAGTAGAACTATAAGGGGCAAAAAGGGCAAAAAAAAGTTTCGATTTTCACCTTAGTATAAGCTTGTCCCAATACCGAAAACCGGTGTTGATCAAATTCTCGACGGTAACTTTCCTGTGTCGTTCAGCTCGACCGGTGAGCAAGAAAACTTTAAATCCCAAACTGAGGACTTGTTCATAGAGTTTCAAGCTGGGCTCTATAGCAGGAGCTATGGCCTTCTCAACCCATTTGTCGAACTCCACATGATCAAAGATCTCTAAGCTGCTCATTCCCACAAACAAACAGCATTCAAGAGTCATTAATGGAATTCAACAGTCCTGTTTGTTTAGTATAATTTCCTGTATTTCTACTTCACTCTCTTTTTCAATTTTTAGGCAATAAATTAGACATCCTACAGATTTTGATAATTTGTCTCAGTAACCTCAATGCAACCAAACCAATTGACTTCGTACTTTGAAGCAATTATATATTATGTCTTATCGGTGTTTACTTGCAAGTTACTAATTTAAAAAGACAACCAGAAGTTACAAATATTCTACTCTACACTCGCAGATCTCTTCATTTTAGGTCCCTGAGTTCACTTTTAGCCCCCAAACAAAAAAACAGTGACTCCATATTCCAAGCGGTGTTGAAAATAAAAAAAAAATAAAAAATAAAAACAAAACAAAAACAAAAACAAAGAAAGAAGAGGGAAAAAAAAAGAACGGAAAATTTAGGATTCATCTCGTCTTTTTTGTTTTTAAAACAATGTTAAGTCACTCTTTTAGGTTTTTCTCGTTCTTTAGTCTAATGTCGTTTTTCATGTTTTGTTGCTTTCCTAGCTTATCTCGTTTCATGGTTTGTTAGTGGCTTTTGTGTTGATTTAATTGTTCATTTGGATTAATTTCATAAATGGCCTTCGAACTTTGTACTTGTTTCAACATACTCTCTGAATTTTAAAAAGGACTCATTTCACCACTTAAAGTGTAAAACGTGGTTCAAAACACCCCCTAAATGTTAAAACAAGATACAAAGTTCAGGGGGTAGTTTCTTCTACAGTTCTAGTAATGGCGTTTGTTCATAAATGAATATGTTGTGGTTGTTTTGTTAATACCATTGTATTGTTCTTCACGCATAGTGTTGTTTCTGTGGTCATTGTCGTTTTTGTTCGATGTGGTTCTTAGTCCTTGCCTTTTTCATTCTTTACTTCTTAATGTCGTTCGTTGCTTAGCTTGTAGTTTATAATAGGTTATTGTCTCTGTTGAGGTAATACTTATGCCATCGTATTGTTGTTTGTTTTTTGGTCAATGTCGTTTTGGCGGTCGTTGTTGTTGCATGTTTTCGTTTTGCATGTCACGTTCTTTTTTACTTTTTCTGAGAGAAAATTCCCCAATCTTCATGTTCTTAGATTTCCGGGTTGATGTTGTTAGATGTCGTCATTTCACTGGCAACAGCTGTTTTATGTGGTTGTCGTTTTTCTATATTATAGTCGTTTTCCCTATAAAGCGTAGTTTATTATTTTATTGTCGTTTTTCACTTCTCATGGTTTTTGTTGATTTTCCATTTCATGTCGTTTTTTCCAAATTTCTCCAATAAAGAATCTATTTTCCGTATTCCAACTGGAATGTCCAAACAGGCAACCAAAAGTTTTCCCAACAAAACAATCCTTTTATTTTCCATCACATTTTCGCACAAAACAAACAAGTTCACCCAAAAAAAAAAAAAAAAAAAGCTTTTGGGGCCATACCCGTAACGATGGTCGGCTTAG